TGATAAATCGCGACTAAAAATAAAAGGTCGCTAAAAACTCGCCGACTAATTGCGACATAACATCGCAACAATCGAACACCAAGTCACGTAAAAGTCGCCGATTTTTAAGCGATTTTTATCACATGGGTTGTTTCAGGTAATGATGTCCAAAAAAAAGAGAATATATTTGATAAAAAAATATGATATTTTAAACATGTGGTATTAATGGTAATTTTCAATAGATAAAACTCGATCAAAGTTACCTTGATGACAGGGAATTTCTGAAAATGACTTTTGCTACTGCGAAAACTCTAGAGGTCTCTAGTGGTAGATGTATTTTCTCCTTTGAAGAATATTATTCTGCTCGGTTTAAAAGGCACTAATCTGTAAATTTTATCGTAGATATTTGTTACGATATCCCGTATATCTACATAAGTTGGAGATGAAGATTCTCATATTTGTCATATGGAAAAACAGATATATTCTCGTTTTCTTTAATTGGTAGATAGATAGTCGAATCGTAAATTAGAGTTGAAGCGTCAATAGTTAAACTAAATTATATTTTGAGCTCAGAAGTTTCGGCACAAAATACCAATTTTTAAACACGGATAAACTATAATCTCTTTTGGTCCTATTCTGCAATCTTCTACTTGAAAATCAACAGTCGTCTTAGTTTTTTGCTGCTTGACAGTCATCTGACCTGTGATGATATGTGGCAAAACTAGATTACGTAACTAAACGGTTCACAGTTAGAGTTCTTTTTTGAAGATGCATTTTTTCTTTTTGTTTATATTTATTTGAAGTGAGTTTTGTTTCGTCATTCGAAGAAATACATGTAAAGTATGAATATTGATCAGTGATTTAAGTGTTTCATTTACTTACGAAAAAGACCAGGAAGCTTGGATAAAACTTTGCGAGAGCACTTTAGATAAGTGCTCGTATACAAGTATATTCACAGGTAGGAAAGACTTTTGATTATGATATATTTAACTTCCTATGATTTTTTCGTTCATGGTTGAATTAGTAGCAAATAATTTTACTGTCAAACTAAGAAGTTTATAATCTATTAAACGGTTAAATCTATGGCAGTTTTTTCGGATACTGTTGTTTAAAAAATACTGTATTTTTTTTCGAATGTCCATTGTAGAAAACTACTAGACTATTAAAGTAAGGAATTCTCCCGTTGGACTTTGATATTATTTCAGATTTATGACAATGAGTAGTGATTATACTACACATACGATACAATGCTCAAATGTTTAGACATCGTGTAGTCGAACGGTGGCAAACATACTGTTTAAACCACACTGCAGCATGGAAATACCGATATATACCATATCGGTCAGTAAACGATAGTTGAAAACATTCGCTCAATCTGGGTCATATCTGATTTTGCTGTTAAATTTTAGGTATTTTCTTCTTACAGCTTGTCGTTTTAAAACCGCAAATATCAATTCAAAAAATTTCTATGATCTGTTAGGCATAGAAAAAATGGCAACACAAAAACAAATAAAACAAGCTTTTTTCAAGTTGTCAAAAGAAGTACGAACTTTTTAAACTTTTCGTAAATTACTCAGTTATGTTGCAGAGTTAGTTTACATAGAATTTGGCTAAAACAAACACAGACAGCAGCGATTCATCAACGTTTGCATAGAGAACGATCGCTGTAGTCTAAGTATTTTTACATTATTTATGGAAAAGGGAAGCTTAACTAGTATATACAAATATCAATAGTAATGGCTTCTCTTTTTCGAATCGTTTTCATAATTGTTACACGGAAATTTGATCATTATTCATACAACGTCCACTTTTAAATTAAGTATCATCCGGATTCAAATCCTAACGATAAAAGTTTACATGGAAAATTTGTTAAAATTAATGAAGCATATAATATTCTTAGTAAACAATCATCCAGAACGACCTATGATCAAAGTATATGCCTTTACTTTTGCATGATTTATTAATTAAATCATCACGTTTTCTATGCTTTTAGTTCTAAACAATTCACAAGTATCTGCCCACAATCAACAATATAGGTCTTCATCATCGTCTTATCCAAATGAAGATCCTTTTATAAACAGCAATCGGCAACGAAAACAATATCAGCAGCAACAACGTACATCACATGATTTTGACTGGTAAGGTAGACGTACTCATATACAGTATGTAATACTGAAGAAACAATCAGAAATATGTCTGTTTTCATAGGGGATCGCCACCACACTTCGATTCGAATTTTATGGAAATGCTACGAAAGCAAATGGAGCGAAATCGTGAAAAACAACAAGAAGAGGAAGATAGAGCTCGACAACGATACGGTCATTACAATCCTTCTAGACAAGAATTTTATTTATTTCTCCCTCTGACAATAATCGCGGTTATTATATCACTTGGAGTTGCTATTCATGCTCTTCAATGGAGGTAATATTAATGTTCAGCGTTTGTTTTTAATATTTTTGATGTATTTTTATTTAGATTAATGAAAATGACTGATCCACATAGTTTTAGTCGACATCACGATTATGGTAAGAATATTTCAGTTCAGCATACGACTCTATTCACACGTCTGCATTTCTTTTTTGTAGCCTATCGTGAGTGGCAACGACTTTCATCGTTGGATAATGCTCATGATACTCCACGACGACCTGAAAGATGATGACTTTAATTTCCCAGTAGCGATTTGTTCATTTAACTTTTTTTTATATTACATACAATGCGATGGAAAGTTTCCAAAAACCTGTACAGTTTGTTGACGCAATAATTGGAAAAAATTTGTATTTTTTCTCAGTTGAATACTCACTCTGCTTTGTTTTCGTTTTTATTTTGTTACTTTATTTAAGTTTTTAGGAAGAAACCTACAGCGGAATTGTCTACGTGTCTTTCACTCTTAAGTAACTGGATGATATTTCAAAATAATGTTGTTTATTCAATAAGAGATTTTTCACTAGCTGGTAATAGACGACATGAAGAGCTCCTTTTTTTTAACGGGGTTTTTCTTTTTTTATAAAACCGGTGTCTTGTTTTTTTCATACTTTCTATTAATTCCTGGATATAAATTGGTCGTCTTTAATTTCTATCTAATCTAAGAAACGAAAAAATGAGACTATCTGAATTGCCTGTTTAGGTTTTGTTTTATTGGATCTTTATAGATCAATAATTGAACTACTCTCGAACTGTCGTTGTTTTGAAAGTTGTTGATACGGAATATTACAGGTATGAACTCCAGTATATATCATCACTTTTAAGTTTCTTGATTTGCATGTAGATACCCTTTATATTTAGTTATGGCTCCTCATAAAACCTTGAAAATTAAAAAAGTTTTGGCAAAAAAGATGAAACAAAATCGACCTGTACGACATATTATATTCTCTACAAAATCTATTAAGTACTGTTTTTTTTCTTTCTTCTTCAGGTACCGCAATGGATTAGAATGCGTACAGGTAATACGATACGTTATAATTCTAAACGACGTCACTGGAGACGAACAAAACTCCGATTATAAACAGAAAAATCGAAAATTCACGAGCACAACGACAGATTATTCGAAAAAAATGCCTCTGTTGTTATATGTTGCTTTTTAGAAAAACAACAATTTTATGTTTTTTATTTGTTTACATTTATTGTTGTAAGTTGTTCTAAATAAATGTAGTGCTTGTGTGAGATTGATGCTTAGCATTTGAACAGCTCTGAATGTTTAGTACAGCTGTATCCTCCTGAGAATGTCAAATGATATACGCAGTCATCTTCACACTAACACCTGGCTATGTTCCTGGTGGTTGACATATTCTCCATGTAAATGTGAGTGAGAGAAATTTCCTCGAATTGTTCAAACAGAAATTATCAATATTATTTGCAGCGTATAGAACAAGAGAAATATTAAAAATGAACACAAAAATTACTTTAGCTACAGATAAATAGACCGACAAGACAACTGAACTGTTGATGTTTATCGCATGATAACGAAGATCTTCATAACCTTTGCAAACTTCAAGGTTAAATAGCATTTGCAGAATATAAATGTAATTTATTGTTAACAAAAATAACATTGTTAAGCAAATCTGTATGAACATGAGCTTCACATTTAATATTTGGATAGCGAGATTCTTCATATTTCCAATAAATTTTGGTATTATGCGTTTTGTCACGAATATAAGAAATCCAGCAGGAATTAGTAAAGGTTTTGATTTAGAAGTTGCAGAAAAATTTGCTATGTTTATAGTACAAATAGATTGTTTCAAGTGGAAAATGTACAGAGCGTTTATATGTCGCATTCTCGAAAGTATGATTATCATGCAATCTCTTTTTTCTATACATAATGTGATTATCATGTAACATTAAGTGTTTCAAACCTTAATTAATTGGAATATTTGATTGTTTTAGCTCTTCTTCCATCTGTTTTCCTTTTAATCATTTTTGACTTGATCATTCTCGTCTTTGTATCCGTCTATCAAAGTGATTTTTAAAATGAGTTATAGTCTTATTTTCTTTTATAAACCGGTGCAAACATATATAACCAAAAATTTGAGGAGGTTCTACATGCTGCAAATAATATTGATAATTTCTGTTTAGACAATTCGAGATTTCCATTTCGAGAAAACTTCATTTGAGCAAATTTCCCAAACCCATTCGTATCTATGAGGTAGTAATCACATTCTTTTATTAGCAGTGAATACGGCAAATATGGAATATGGATGGCTTGTTTTCAATTTTTATAGTCAATATTTAAAATTAGTTGTATTATATAACAGTTTGGAGACATACAAAATTGCTAAATCCGTCTTAATTATCATCATTATAAGTACCGTAAAATAATACTTCATTTTTATTGAAAACAATGTTGACCGTCCGATAGTACTAGAGTCCTTCAGTTGGCCAACTCCAACAAGAAAAGACTAGATAATTTATTTGATAATTCGAAAATTCAGAACAAATAGAAGATAACAAACCAAAAGAATGCAAACAATTAAAAACAAAATGAAGCATAGTTGCAACATGTATAAACAATGGCTAATAATATCAATAACTCTATTTTCGATAGTGCGCCATTAAAACGGGCGAATAAAATCTCCATATTTACATTATTTCTCGTCGAATGACGTTATTATTAGAAATTCAAATCGGTTCAACATAGTATTTTCACTAAGTGTAGGTGAAAAATTTAAATCTTTAAATTTGCATGTGTACAAATTACAAAAATAAACTGGCTCAATTAACAACTCTATAATATACTTGATATATTATGCATGGTGTATATCACAGATAAGTAAAATTAAAACAACTTTTACTATCATCTGTCATCAACAGACGGTGAACGAGCAATTTCTTTCAGATAGACAGGATCATCTAATATCGATACATAACTTTTCTCGGCATCTGGATCTTCTTCAAGCTCTTGTCTATGTAAAGATATCAAACGGTACCTGTAAACAAAAAAGAGCGGTAGTTGTAACAGGCATATTCTCTATTTATTGTTAACCAACCATGTTATCACATCGGGATCTCCAACATCCATCGATGCAGCACAAGAATCAATGCCGTTGCTATCTTTTAACAATGGATCAGCGCCTCGTTTCAATAGCAAAATGATCGGTCTAAACATTGAAAAAGATGTTCTAGTCAGCTTAAACATGAATGAATAACATACCCTCGTCCTTTAGTAGCTAACATTGTAGCAAAATGAAGTGGCGTTTTACCATTTTTATCAGCTAAATTTACTTTAGCATTATTTACAAGAAGATATTCAGCAGCTGCTACAGATCTCTAAAAATAAAGTATCTTGAAATGTATGATTATTCGCCATTTTACTTCTAACTTACACTCTCGATTGCTTGTATAAGTGGTGTACGATTATTATCTGATGGATTGGCATAATTTTTATCTGCTCCGAGAGCCAAAGCATGTAACATGATTGTCACATTTCGTTGTTTGGCTCCTTCGTATAAATATATGTTTGGATCCCAATGTAACGGATGATTATTTACCAGATGAACATTTTCTAAAACACAATAGAAAATAGTATTAGTGTCGTAAAGCCAAGACATTACAATGAAAATATTTAGCCTATTAGTATAGCCATTTTTACTTTATACTTTAGAACAACAAATCCATGCATACAAATACAGTATGACTAGTAACTAGATAGAGATTCTAAATGCCAAATATTCGTGGCAAAAGCAACAATAACAACAACGACAAAATTGAAAGGACCGTGCATTAGGTTACCTTTTACTCCATTATTCTTTAATTCAATCTGACGCAAAACTTCATCAGTGAAAGAACCTAATGAAAGAAATTTGGCTCTTTTGTGTGGAGGGTGAATCCATATGAAACCTACCACGATATACAAAAGTGTTGGTGCCAGGGAGGAGACCTATCTCATTGTGTGGAGCTCATCGGGCTTATTCTAGCTGCACAAACCGCAGGTCTATAGCTATTGCGGAAAAAGAGTTATTGGCGTTTTACTCTCCCAGCAAAAGTAGCGGAATTTTGCCGTTTCCCAGTTATTTTGATCCATCGTGCGAAGCTCACACAGGGTCTCATCCCACTCTAAAATCGACGCAGATGGTTTTAAATGAAAGAGCATTGCAAATACTATATAGGCAAAGATAAAAACATTTAGTTCATGTAGAGATTTTGAGATAACAGACTAACTTTAACAAAACAGAACACAAAAAATATACCAAAAAAATAATAACTAGATAACATCGAGTCGATTGCACAACCTCAATCGTTGTACAGAATATATACATAGAACAGTGGATTTGATTTTGCAGTTTACTGCAAAGTTAAGTTCATGTGTTCGAATCTGTATTCGTACAAAAACTGCTTTTGTGTTTCGATAGTTTTAGTTTAGAATACTATAATGGAATATTTTTCCGCTTGTATTCTGGAAAGAAAAAAGCTTAAAACAGGTTTTGAGATAAAGGACCTTGAAGATCCGAATTTTCTAGAAATTCTTTTAAAGTCAAACTTTATCCAAAAATTTTTCTAACCATATGGTTGGATAGAGCGTTCAATTCTGAACAAAATGAGATGTTTTTCGAATTTTCGCAACTTGGGATGACTGAATTAGAGGCTTTACAAAATGTACATATGTGAAATTCCCGTTTTCAGATTGTAACTGGGTATTTTCGGGCACTCGTCATATTTTTAATGCCAATTTTGAACGGTAGATCCTAGAAATGTCGGCAATATGCTATTTTGTTTAGAATTGAACGCTCTATCCAACCATATGGTTAGAAAAATTTTTGGATAAAGTTTGACTTTAAAAGAATTTCTAGAAAACTCAGATCTTCAAGGTCCTTTATCTCAAAACCTCTACATGAACTAAATGTTTTTATCTTTGCCTATATAGTATTTGCAATGCTCTTTCATTTAAAACCATCTGCGTCAATTTTAGAGTCGGATGAGACCCTGTGTGAGCTTCGCACGAAGTCATGCTATATTGCCGCCCGAGCCAAAGGTCGATGTAATGGTGATATGTTTCACCTGGATTCATCCCGGAGTATCACTTACTCTCAAGCGGTAAGAATTCTTTTTTTATTTTAGCGTACCTGTTTCAACATCTGTCGTAGTTGGCGTACGCCTGAAAGATAAAAAGTCTAAGATCAATTCTGATATTCTTTTTTAAGATGAAAAATAAATGGAAGGTTATGTGAAAACCTTGATGATTGACGAATGTTTTCGTCTTTGGCTTTGACTGACCATCGTTTGATTGTAGATGTAGTATTATTCGATAAAGAATGTGCTGTTAAACGTGGTCGTCGTAGTATTTGATTATAATTTGGTAACGGTCTCAAATAAAGTTTTTGAACATATTTTGATTCAATAAATGAGCGTCGTACGATACTTGAAAGAAATAGGAAAATTTTTTGTCATGAACAGAGAATAGAGATAAATCTCTTACGCATCACTGTCTGCATTAGGTTTACGTGCTCTATTCATATCTGATTCATAAATACTGTTCACTATAGTATTGCCTAATTCTGACATAACTAATAATGTTTCCAAATCCCAAGAGTCCATATGAAGTGAGCGTACTTTAGACAAACTGACACCTAAACCTCTTAAATAAATAAGAAAAAAAGACAGTGAATATAAATATGACTGATTCAACAGGTGCGTACCGTACCTATGTGCTCCACAACACTGTAAACATAGAATAATTCCAAGATTGATACTAGCCCACTCGGGATTTCCAGCATCACAATCACAACATCTCTCATTTCCAGGCATTTTACGTACATGCTCAATTTTCTCTTTAATCCTATAATACATAGACAACAGTATAGCATAGAAAAGAGCACTTTCTACAAGTAACAAACATTTTTTGCTTTAATTCCATTTTGGCTTGTAAAACAGCGCTTGGATTATCATCGTATGGCGCTTTAGGAGTTGACTAAAAACAAAATTATCACATGGTTTTTGATCAATTAACAAAAAACATTCTTTTTATATTTAGTGGTAATAAAAAAATTCTAATTTTAAAGGCGTGGACAATTCTTACCGTTATTGTATCATTTCCATTTAGCGTCAATGTTTTGAATGAATTTGTTATTGCTAATTGAAGAGAATTGATCCATTGATCGAAATCAGCTTGAGAATCTGCTTGTAACAAATGTGAACTAAATAAAAAAGATTAATACAAATGTTGATAAGTTTCTTGTTTACAAATTTTACCTGTTAGGCGAAAGTATTTCAAATACAAATCGTCTGTCGTGATCTGGCACTGGTTTAATAGTACAAATTCGAAGATCTGGTACCATAATAGACTGTTCATTTTCAATATCTTTTGATGTACTACGTCTCATATATAATAATTGTCCATTTTTTATTAAAAACCATCGTCTAAACAAATTTAATTAATCTATAGAATCAATAAAGTTTGGAAAATAATATAAGAGAACGTTTGCCATCATATGACTGATGATGTCTTTTGAATAAAGGCGAAACTAGTCTCGAATAAAATTGTAACTTCATTATGTATAAGGTGGTGTTTGTCTTATTATCTATTCTTAAATTCTTCACCTTAAAAAATGATTCAATTAAGAGAACGTACCTGCTCCATGATTTGAATGTGTGATGTGATCGTTTAAATAGATAACCTTCTTTTGGATTATCAATTGCTACTGTTGCTATATTTTCAGTTGATACTAAATTAGTTGTATTTGGATAGATTGAATTTCTTGGTAGTTCATCACCCTAAAACAAAGCAAAAAAATTTTTTTTTTGAAGTAATTGTCTAAAAAAAGCCGCCACATAATACAAATCAATTTTCACTAGAAACCAAAAAAAGAGCAATAAACCTAATCATCTAGTAATGAGATACTTTCATGCAGAAATATTGTTCTTCACACATGAAAATTATCAATACTAATAATAATAATAATAAAAAAAAATACATGCAAAAAATTTAGTAAAAAAATTCAGTAATTTTATTTTGTGCATGCAATAAAAAAAATAAAACAAAGCTATGAGCAAGCATGTATAAAAACAAAATTTAGCAAAACACCTTTTTCAAAAAAAATTTATTCAAAAGTCCAAAATTCAAATTTTATTCATTTAGCTAACTAAATTCTCTGTCAAAAGGATGAATACATGCACGATTTTTAATAATGAATAATGAATTTATTTTATTTAAAATTTTTATATAGATGTCATATTTTAAATATAAGCATTTCGTTGTAGTGGTGCTATATCAATTACTGAAAGTGGTATATATATATATATATACAGATATATATATCAACTCTCAGATAGTATCGCATGATACAAAACATTTAAAATCTGTGAAAATGTGAGGAAAATATTGATATTTTATATTTGTTTACCGATGATAGTAGAGCGCCACTATTAATAGTATTATCCGTATCGTCCAAATTACACTGAAATAAGATAAGAAGCATATTTTAAAAGTAAAAAAACGTTTAAGAAATGAGTAAAAATTAAACAATGTCATTGATTTTGAATAATAGCATTACATTAATTTTTAATAATAGCTCATGTCCATATCTTTTATTTATATATTTAGCGTGTGTTATTGTTAAGCAAAAAAAACAAAAAAAATGTTTGCATGCTATGATGACTTCTGTTAATAGTAGTTTATATTTCTAATTCACCTGATTATTATCAACAGATAATTTTGGTTTGGCAATAATGGATATTGTTCGACTTTTTATTGCTAAAAGTGTATTTTTATTATTTGTGGTACCGGTACTGGTTACTGGTATATTAGACGGTTGCTGTTGCTAAATAAAAATATGTTGTTGTTGTTTTCCACTTTCTCTATATATAGTTCGAATGAATTTTCTCTTGCTCTCACACCACAATGCACAACGCATATTGATATGAAATGTATGAAGTGTTTGAAGTATCAAAAATAATTCATTATGTGTATTTATCTTTTGTTTTGGATGAATCATGGAGAATAGTCATAAAAATCACATTCAATCAGAAGATGAAACGATTCTACAACTTTTTTCGGTCAATTCTTTTCATAAATGTATCATGTCAAACTACCTTTATTGATTCGATTTTTTCTGACTGCATTCGTTTGATCTTAAATAAGTCTTTTGCAGCAGATTTCTTTGCTGATAATTTGGCAAGCGACGGTTTGGCCTGTAATTCATTTGTTGACGCTGATTTTAGTTTACTCGGTTTTGAACCCATGAGAATAATAGGAACAACAATAATTTTCTTGTATCGTTTTCTTGTATAGTCCTAATTGATTTGTTATATTTATTATAAGTTATCAAGTTATCAACCAAAATATGCTAATTGAGTAGTACGTTACTGACGGAATTATAAATAGAAGAAAGAGAAAAATACATGAGGGAGAGAGAGAAGGGGGGGTACAATAATACGTTGATGTCACGGTCAAAGTATTTTTATAAATAAATATGCCTAGCTATGTTGGTTATATACACGTCAAATATAAATTGATTCATTCAATTAACGGTGTAGACTGGTTAAATTCGACATGTGCGTCGGTGACAAGTTTTATATGATTCATATACGTGGTATGGTGAATTTAAAAAAAAATAAATGTTTTGCTCAATGATACGAGTCCATTGCATTTCACTACTAACATTTTTGTTGAGTAAGACTGTTAAGTATTATATTTCATTAGAATTTTCTATGCATCGTCTCAAATATCGTAAAATATCTGCAAAAATGAGAGAACACGATTGATACTATTGAAAAATTATCAAATGTACAATTTTTAAATATTTGTAATTGAATTATTTATTAATACCATACAAATGAAGATAATTATGGAAAAAGAATATTTATTATTAAAGAAAAATTTATGAGTACTTAACGCGTCAACAAACGTCGATGTCACATTAAAAATTGGAGAGATTTTAATTAGTCGAGAAATAAAATCAACATTGTACTCTAATTTAAAACAGTATCGTCCGTTTTTGAAATCGAAATTAATTATAATGATACTTAATAGCTTACTTTTCGTTGATTATTATCATGTTTCTTTTCAAGTATTTTCTGTTTCACAGCATTTTCTTGACGCATTTTTGAAAGCTAAAATTTATAATTTAGAAAAATATATAAATAAATAAAGAAAAAAATCACTATTATCCTACCTGTTGAGATATAACAGTGAAATCTTTTTCAGAGTCTAAGAAAAGTTCATGACCTTGATGAAAAAATGCTTTGTGAATATTTATATAGGATAATAATAGTTCAATTAATTCCACCTTGTGTTGATCAAATAATATGTTAATATGATATGTATAATCAATAGAGGTATGTCCAAAACAACTTCTTGTAGCTATTAAAATTTTACTTGTATCATCACATAGTGTTGTTTTCATTTTTGATGCATCAGCATTCTTTTGTAATGCTAAAATAAAAATACAAAACGAAACTAATTCAACTAAAACCTGTTAAAATAGTTAAACTAGTCGTCAATTTTTAAATTCATCTTAAAGAGTTATTCTATCAATAGTGCCATATTGTAATAACATCAAACAAACAATGTATTTGAACGAATCTGAAGTCGTTTGAATAGAGTTCAGTATCGAAACTAAATGTTAATTTTTAGTACTGCTTTTGACATCTGCTTCTTATTCAGTCACTTGAATAACATAGTTCTGGCATAATGATTTTTTTCCTAGGTTTTTTTTATCATTCAATCAAAGTTATTCCTTTTTTTCTACATTCTTTCAACTTCTTTGACTCGTTTTTTTCATGTCATATTCCTTTCGTTTGATAAATAACGGTTAAATGTACAACAATCGATACTCTAGCAGCCAACATGCTTTTCTTGCAGCGAAGTACCGTAATTATGTCTACATTCAATTTTAAATGAATGATCGACAACATTAGAAGACAATCGGTGTAAATAACAGATGTAAGAACGTGCTGTATGCAGCAAGAAATCAAACTGCATCAAAAGAATCTTAGAAGTCACTCCGAAGTTTTCCAATAAATTAGATAAAGATGTCAAACACTGATTAAAGAATATGAACAATTGATTTGTTTGAACTAAATAAGTTTTGTTTTACAAATATTGTTTGTTTCGTTAGAGAAAAGCTCAAGTCTTCGAAACTTGAACTGGTCTCTTACTATGTGCGCAGTCGTCAAGATTAGATTTTTAAAATCAGATGCAAGAGCAAGAAAAACTGATATTGAACAATTACCATTATAGTACTTGAAAATTAACAACAAAGTTTTGACGTTCCAATTCTTCAGTCAACATGACTAATGAATAAAAAATTGGTCTAAAGCATCTTTACAAAAAGAAGTAAATCGAAAACAATCAATAAATCCAATGAAAATTCTATGTACGTTAAATACACCAGTTACTTCACTTACAAGGTGTACAATAAATATATCAAGTGACCAGTCATGATTATTCACGAATTCATTCGAATACATTACATATCAACAAAACATTTTGATTCACTACTACTCCCTTATTCGTCTATAGACAATCAAAATGCTTAATACTCTGATAGTAAAAAGAACATGGTCAACAACTTTATTAAATTATGATTGTCGTCACATTACCAATAGTAGCAATCTTTCACTAATAATAATAATAATAATAATAATAATACTGTTGATCAGTATAGATGGGGGAATGTTGACTATTTCATTAGATATTGTTTAAAAAAATTACTAAAACAAGTAGTATTTCCAAAAGTAGAATAAATATATTGTTAACATATATTCATCTTTTAACCAATGTTTCCATTCAATTTTCCTTGAAGGAAGGATAAATACTTTAGAACAACTACACAAAGTGTGTTAAGTAATTTTCACTAAAATATATCCTTTCTCCACTAAACAGCCTTTCATTACTAAAAAATTGCATTATAAACTTCAATGTCCGTAAATGCATGCTACCGAAAAACATCGAAAATACTGGATAAAGTTAAATAAACCATTAAAGTTAGTTACATATTCACACCTATTACCGCATTAGTGGTAAAAACATAAAACACAGACTTCATACTCGTTGGCGATTGATGCCAGCAGAATGGGGGCATATTGATACGATACACATCAAGTATCTGTACGTGTGCCTCGTAGTCGAACCTATATTTCGATAAACAAATCGATAATTTAGCGTTAGATATAAAACTCATCACCTTAATTAAATTAGAAACATGTGAAGTATCTTTTATCTAAGCAAAAGAGTCCGCTATCGTCGACTGATTCTATTTACTCTTATTCGACAAGATAAATATATATTAATGTTTTAAGCATCGTTACAAGTTAAGAACGACGCTACATTTTTGAAAATATACAGTTTCATAAATTTCAGTCAGACTCAGAGATGGGAGAACCTGATTTTTGGAAAAAAAAGAAAGTATTCATATATTCTGTAATTCTAAGCAGAACTCGCTCTGACTAAAAATTGAGCAAACAACGATATAGCAGCGATGCATTATGTAACGATAAAATCGCATCAGATATAATTGTACGTTAAACTAACAGTTCACACGAGTCTGTGTCAGAGCGATATAAAAAAAAATTCTAAGTTTTAGAGAGATCTGTCAGTTTGAGACAAACAGTGGCCATCAAACTCACGTGCATGTGACTGATGTTCTGTGTTTTTCTCCGGTCTCTAGGACATGGAATCCGCTACTGGTTGATGTATGTTTTTGTTTAGATCGCTCTTGGTAAGTTATAACTGATGCAGTTAGTTGTTTTAAATATCTGCATGTTACTCAAACGTTGTTTTTCCATCCTCTCTCAAACAATATATAAAGCACCCTTCGAATAGAATAGAAACTCTATTGTCGTTCTGTTTAAACATTTATTAAACACATCTACACTATTTTGCAAAAAACAATTTATCACTTTTCAAAACAATTTTTGCTTAAATTAGAGCAAGTTTACAATATTTGAAATCAGTATTTTATACTCTTTTTATGTCCCTATTTCACAATTTTTGTTTAGGCTTTTGTGTGAACTATTTCACATGGTGAAAGTTCTGATCTCTTTCTAAAGAGAAATGAGAGCTATTTATCGTTCAATGTCTTATGATACAGATAAAAAAAGTGAAATAATTGTTATTAAAAGCGTATAATACAAAAACTATATACTCTTATTTTAGTCAATGTAAGTTACTACAAAAGCACAGACGAAAGTTGTGAAACAAGGATATACAAAGAGTATAAAATACTAATTTCAACTACTGTAAAAATATATTGTAAACATGCTCGAATTAAATAAAACTTGTTTCGAAAAACGATAGATTATTTTTTGTAAAAAATATTGTAAAATAAAATTTCTCTTCTTCAAAAAAAAAAAGTCAATGTCTCACTTACCTATATCATAATCATTGCTTAAACGTTCAAACATCTTTCCTTGATCTTTTACTTTTCTAATATCTTCTTTTAACATACGTGTTAAAGTACGTAATACACTATGAGTTGTTTGTTCGATTAAACTCTATAATAATAAACAATCATATGTGAAAAGAAAGACGATTGTATTTAGAGAAGAATTGTATACATACGGAAAATAATGATTGTATCTCACGTAAATATTCTCCAAATTTTGCTAAACTTTTATATGCAATTTCATCAGATGAAAATAATTCACGTACATCATATATACATTTGAGAAATTTTCTATAAAACGACAGTATGTCACAATTATAGATATTTATTTTATAAATATTAAATAACATACTGAAATTCTAGCACGAATGATTTCCCTGTTGTAATGACGGTATTACAAGTCCGAGACATCTGAAAAAACAATAAAATAATCTTAAATTTTAAATAAAATGAATAATTTAAAATAATTTATCTTTATTACCTGTTCAAAACGTTCTTCGAGTGTTTCGATATGACTAAAACAAGATGAAAATAATAACATAGACTCAAAAATAATTTATAATATTTAAACATACTAAGTTGCACGTCGTAGTTGAGAACTAAAAAAAGAAAAAAAAATTCGATTAAAACTGACAGTTAATTCATATACAAAAAATTTATCACACAATATATTTGGCATTCTATTTTACTATATAATAATAACTAAAATATTTAAATATAATATAAAAATAGTTTGTGATCCATATTAAGAACAACGATAATTTACCATGTAAAACAGAAGAATACATTGAGTAATGAAAATACTCAAGTACTATCAACAGTTTCAAAGGAAAATCCTTGAATGATGAGTGTAGAAACGTAGTTTCTTATCATCGAAAATAGTTGAACAAGTAAGACAAATCTATGACATATTAGTATCTATATTCTAGTAGAAAGATATATCAAAGAGTGTTAAAATTTTCAAGTATAACGCTTACTCAGTTAAAAAATGATTTTGTGATTGCATTTTTCTCCAGATAACTGCCATAATTTTTTATTAAATAATTACTATTAGTAAAATTTATTTAATTTTAAAAATTTTTCAATAATTACACTTGTTAAATACTTAAATTTTGAGTAGTATCGATTAGTATGTACATATGTTATCTATTTAGTTTCATGCTATCCAATGAATATCATTAGCAGAAAGAAACAAATTATTTTGACATGTAC